TTTAAAAAAAAAAAAAAACAAATATACCAATAAAAAGTCATAAAAAATGCCTTATGTTTCTGACCCATCCCTTTTATTCTTAAGCATTTGCTGCATTCAAAATACCATTCTTTTGGGGCACCTGGGTGGCTCAGTCATTAAGCGTCTGCCTTCGGCTCAGGTCATGATCCTGGGGCCCTGGGATCAAGCCCTGCATCCGGCTCCCTGCTCAGCGGGAGGCCTGCTTCTCCCTCTCCCACTTCCCCTGCTTGTGTTCTCTCTCTCACTGTCTCTCTCTCTGTGTCAAATAAATAAATAAAATCTTTTTAAAAAATCAGTCAAAGGGAGGAATCATCAAATATAATAAAAACCAATGCCTAAAATCCTTATTTTAATTTAAAGTCATGTTCCTTCATTTGCCACTCTTCTGGTGTAGGGCCAAGGTCCTCACCAGCATTCTTTTTTTTTAAAGATTTTATTTATTTATTTGAGAGAGAGAATGAGAGAGAGTGAGTACATGAGAGGGGGGAGGGTCAGAGGGAGAAGCAGACTCCCTGCCGAGCAGGGAGCCCGATGCTGGACTCGATCCAGGGACTCCAGGATCATGACCTGAGCCGAAGGCAGTCGCTTAACCAACTGAGCCACCCAGGCGCCCCCCTCACCAGCATTCTTACATAAGCCATCCTCCTAAAGCATTAGGGACAATTCCTAGTTTCAAACTCTTTACCCGGGACAAAGAATTTAGAGAAACCTTCTAGAACTTCACAGTTCTTTTCTGGTCTTCCAGTTACCTCATCCACCTAATTCCATAGCATTTTTTAGGGACTTCCCATTTATCCAGTCATTACAAAGCATTGAATTTTATCTTGGTAGAAAGATGGACGCTTTTCATGTTCACTCTTACATCCCAGTTGACATAATACTTAAACACATATAAACGTGTAAGTATGATAACCAGTACAACTACCTGTCAGGAGGTTTGGGAGCAGATGACTCACCCAGCAGCAGCAGAAGAGGACAGGAGTATCTTCCAGTTGCCAGCAGCAGAAGTGTTCAGGCTGCCTGCCGAGGGCTTTGGTAAGCAATTCTTAAACATGGAATCTATCAAGCCCAGCAAGTTGGTTAAAAGTAATATCTACAATGTTTGACAACCCTCTATGTCTTCGGATTCATTTTCTATTGTTGCTGTAATAAATTACCACAAGTCAGCAACTTAAAGCAACACCCACATTTATCTCACAGATTGGTAGATCAGAAGTCTTAGTTGGGCTCAACTGGGTTCTCCCTTTAGGGTCTCACAAAGGTCTCGCCAAAATCAAGGTGTTGGCAAGCTGGGCTCTTATCCAGAAGTTCTAGGGAAGAATCTGCTTCCATACTCCTTCAGGTTGTTGGTCAAATGCAGTTCCTTGCAGCAGTAGGTCTGAGGTCCCCATTTCCTTGCTGGATGTCAGCTGGGATTACTTTCAGCTCCCCAAAGCTGTCCATATTCCTTGGCATGTGGCCTTCTCCATCTTTAAGCCAGCAATGATGTGTCAAATTCCCCTCATGCTTCAAATCCATGACTTCCCCTTCGGCTACCAGAAAAGTCTGCTTTTAAAAGGGCTCATGTGATTAGCTCAGATCTACCCAGATAAACCTACCAAAGTTAACTGTGCCATATGACAAAGCACAGTCATGGGAGTGATAATTCATCATATCAATAGGTTCTGGGGATTAGAGCACTGGAATCTTGGGAGCCATTTTTAGGATTCCACCTGCCACAGTCATTAAAATGGAGACAGAAGGGAATGAACTTTCCAGGCAAATGGAGAATGTAAGCAAAGACACAGAGAAATGATGGAGCAGAGCACCAAGTGAGTACCTTGGGGAAGAGCAACACTGCCTCCCCCTTCAGTCCCAGTGATGGCCTCCTTCTACTTCGAATGTTCCAGCTAAAAACAGACAAAAGAAAGTGAGGGAACATAGAAATTAAATTATGCTAATATATCTAAATAGTATTTCCCTGAGATGTGTTCCAATTATTAGTTTAAGAAATGATGAGTTAAGAATTGAGGAAACTGTCATTACATTCTTTCCCCAGAGAGGAAGAGTGAAGACTTGGAAATAATATCCATTTGTCTATTGACAAAGAATGATATAATGACATCAAAAGGTGCCCACTTTCCATCCATTCAAGAAAAAAAAAATTTAAATGAGAATTCCCAATGCTAACTAGTAACACAGATATGGTCAAAAATTTCAGTGTAAATGAACACAACTCATTAAGTATACAAATTTTCGCTATTCTAAAAGGATAAAAATAATCATATCCTTTGACTTTGGGGACTTTATACCAAGGAGCTAATCCAAAAGAACTTTTCTAAATTATGCAATAAAAATACACTTTGTAGTAATATTTATATACTACAATATATTTCATCTAAATATTCATAATTGAAAGATGATTAGTTCAATTATGGCCTCACCATTCAAAGGAATATTATTCAGATATTAGCATTTTAATTGTGCAGAGCAAAATAAAATACTGAAAAATGTGAATGGTCCCTTCCGTTTAAAAGTAAAATGCAAAACCTTACCTATCCTTCGATTGCAACTATGTGAAAAATATTGTGCATAACCAAGATTTGGGAGAGAACTTGAAAAATGGAAAAAATTTGAGTAGGATGATGAATGAAATTTTTCATTTTGATTTATATTAACAGTACTTAATATAAGGTTGTTTGTGCAATAAATAATAATGATAGTAAGCTTTAAAAAAATCATATATGAACTCTAAAAGACTCTACCATGAATGTCAGTGCACCCTCACTGGTTCTAAAAGGACCAGAGACAATTAATCAAACAAAAAAACAGATTACAAGTCAGGGCCATTGCAAAAGGAACCCTCACCTCCGAGCTCAATGCCTTGAAAGCCCCCCAACAAAACAGAATCACAAGTACATTTACCTTCTATGCCTTTTTTCATTCTACTTAAAGGAAATAAGCACGTGTGGTATTATTGAAAATCCTTTCCTCTGCCATGTGACGCAATGAGGAATTCGAGGAGGTAAAGAGAATCCATACAATTCACAATTTCGAGAGAGAGAGAGAGAAAAAAATTTGGTTATCTGCAAGATTGTATTTCAATGAAGAGGGAGTCAATCCTCCTTAATAAGACCCATCATCTAGAGAGTTATTAAGAGACGCTTTGTTTTTCATTGGCCATTTGGTAATTCTGCTTAAAAACATTTCTTACAAAAACTCACATTCCTAACCTGAACTGGGCAGATCACACATTCAAATGCTGAAAAGTGATTTAAAAAGCAAACAAACCAAAAATCATGCCTCTTAGCCAAAAGTTGAAACAAACTAACCTGTCTCTCCTACTGTGTAGATTTCAGTGTTTGCAAATACACAGTAACTATACCTCTCCCATTCTAGGATGAAATTTGTTTTCTTTTTGTTTTGCTGGGAATTGGCTCTTTTTCCTCTGGGACCAGCTCTGTAGTACCTGAGTCTACAAGGAGAGGGCCTTCTGGATGGGAGATGGGAGTCCCCATTAAGGTCAGCCATTGATGGGGGAGCATTGCCCTGCCTCACCCCTGTTGGTTTTTATTCCCTTTGGTTTCATTTCCATCAAAGAAGCAAACATTGGGAGGGAGCTGTTCTTTTACCATATTTAAAATTCCTCCACCAGTCAGGAGCATTCACGTCTCTTCCAGCTCTAGGGGATCTATTGCAAATCCTTTAAATTGTCATATTATCCTCTCATTTGCTTCTATTTTAGCAAAGCAAATGATTAAAAATTAAACTTTCATTTAGAAGCATAATTATTTTAAAGGATGTCAAGGCTTCATGTTAAACAAATTTACCTCAGCAAGTAGAATGGGGACTTGGAATTCAATTGAAGAGTTAATGAAATAACCATAATTTAGTTAGGTGAATCAACCTACATCATCTTATTTATTTAAACAGATTTCTCTCCTTATTCAGTTTTCATGTATGTAGTTGTGTTTTTTATTCCTTCAGTAAATGTCTGAGCTTCACAGAATGAGTCAGAGAAACATTTTTTGTTTTCAATCAGGAAAAGTCTTTCTTATATACATGAAAAGAAAAATTAATTAATGTGATTTTCCTCAAATAGGGTGAGAATTTATAAAATAGGAAAGTAGCAATAATTCTAATCCAAATTTCTAATCCTTAAAAATTTCCCATGGAACATGAAGTTTAGATCTGACTTACTGAGATAAACTAGTTTAGCTTTGTGAGTTGAAAAAGGCCGATGCCTGGGTGCCTGGGTGGCTCAGTTGGTTAAGCGACTGCCTTCGGCTCAGGTCATGATCCCGGAGTACCGGAATCGAGTCCCGCATCGGGCTCCCTGCTCAGCGGGGAGTCTGCTTCTCCCTCTGACTGTCCCCCTTTCTTGTGCTCTCTCTCTCTCTCACTCTCTCTCTCAAATAAATAAAATTTAAAAAAAAGAAAAGAAAAAGGCCAATGCCCAGTGCCCGGAGAGCTCTAGATTGAACAAATGAACTATATGTGAAAGGCAGCCTTCTTCTATTGGGTTCAGTGAACTCTGCCTCCTGGTATTCATACTCTTCTTTAATCCCCACCCCTTGAATATGGGCTGGACCTAGGGACATGCTTCTTAGGCAAAGAATGTGGCAAGAGTGATGGAATGTCACTTCTGAGACTCACAAAAGACCATAACTTCTGTCTGTTGATTCTTGTCTTCTCACTCACTTGCTCTGATAAAGCAAGTTGTTTTGAGCTGCCTTATGGAAAGGCCTACATGCAAGGAACTAAGGGTGTTCTCCACCCAATAGCCAGTGAAGGACTGAGACTCAGTCCCATACCCCACAGGAAACTGAGTCCTCCCAACCACTAGGTCAGTGCGATTGGGAAGTGGATCCTTCCACTGGGGAACCCTGACCACAGCCTCAGCCAACCCCCTGACAGCAGCCTGGGCAGGACCTGAGCTGTGCACAGAAACTATGACATGATAAACATTTTTTTTAAGCCCCTAATTTTGGGATGCTTTGTTACACAGCAATATGTGACTAATACACTAACCAATAAATTCATTCATGGCAGAGCATCTCTCCCACGAACATATTCATATTGAAATGCTTCAGCTCTATCTAGCCGATAACTCAGAATTATTTCAGATGATATGGCCTGCATGCTAAAATATATGCTAACCGGTCAACTGTTAAAGCAGTCAGTACCTGGAGCTGGTGAAGAAGGAGGCCATGGTGGAGGTCACAAGAGATACATGAAGAAAGTGCCACCTCTTTGCCTCTTCTACCTTAAAATTGTATCCACCCCCCACCAGTCCAGTAGGCCTACTAGATTTTACTAGGGGGCGGGGAGTCAGAGGGTTGTGGTAGCCTGTGTTTAGCATAGGCTACTAGTCTATTGTTAATAATATACAGAAAAAGAATCTATGACTAAGGGGCTAAATTACTGACTTAGAAAAAACATTAACAATAGGGCTATAGTTCTGCTTTGCATCTAGGCATTCAATATACAATGAATTAAAAATTTTTTTTTAATTTTTCAAGCTGTAGGGTGTTGTCTTGGGTGGCCATTCCAAATGGCCAAGGTAGGAAAATTCTATCTGCAATAGATCCTTCATAAAATGATCTTTCTAGAACTTTCCATGTTTAATGTGTTTCTTTTTTAAGATTCTATTTGAGAGAGAGAGAGAGAATGAGAAGGGGGAGGGGCAAAGGGAGAGGGAGAAGCAGGCTCCCCACTGCACAGGGAGCCCCACACGAGGCTTAATCCCAGGACCGTGGGATCATGACACGAGCTGAAGGTAGATGCTTAACCGACTGAGCCACCCAGGTACCCCTAATGTATATCATCTCTACTAAGTACAGATACTTTGCCTCTGGTGTGGGACACATACCAAGGGTGACCTGTGAGAAGATTTTGGTGGAAGGTGGACATGTCACTAAATGGATTCTCTTTTAATCCTTCATATTACTCCAGGAACAAGCCTCATTTGGGGATAGTCTTTGACATCTCTCTAATAACTTGTTAGAATCTGGTCTTCAGAAAGAGAGAACAAGGGCACCTGGGTGACTCAGTCGGTTAAGCCACCAACTCTTGATTTCATCTCAGGTCATAATCTCAGGGTCATGGGATCAAGCCCCAAGTCGAGCTCTGTTCTCAGAGGGGAGCCTGCTTATCCCTCTTCCTCTGCTCCTCCCCGTTAGCTCTTTCTCTCTCTCAAATAAATAAATAATATCAAGAAAGACAGGAAGAAAGAAAGAAAGAAAGAGAAAGAAAGAAAGAGAAAATGAGCCTTAGACTCAATAACTGTAGTTAGCAGCAGGATCAAACAAGAATTTAATAATATGGTTTTATTTTCAATATAGTTATGTATGACAAGCAATACTGTTTTGTTGTTTATGATAAGGATATAAAATTTCCTTCCCTTTAAAAAACTGGGAAGCTTTAAATAAATTATTAAGTCTTGAGTCTATCACCCTGGGCTGACTTTTTCCTCACCTCCCTCAGCCCCCAAACACAGTATCTCATCCCCTCTCCCAGTTGGGTCAAAGAAAGCTTCCTTTCTCCAACAGAAGGGCCGTTGCCTTGGTCCTAGTGCTCCTTGGTTCATGCCAGTCACACTCTCCTTCCCTGCCCCAATCCCCATGGCCTGGGGTGGGATGTATTGATGGACTTAGGTCAATGGAGCCCCTTACCCATCTCATCTGAATGGGAATGAGGTCACCCCCATGCAAATCTGCTGGGAGAAAGGGAAGAAAATTCCCCAAGGGAAAAGTCTGAGGAATGGCCCCTAAGAAAATTAGTTCCTGAGCCCCTCCCTTTTCATTGTGACGCCAGGGGGTGATGCACCCACCCTGGAGGTGTATGAGGAGGGCTGCATGAGACACATGCAAGTCACACTTCAGAGCTTAGCGCACAGAAGGTGCTCGGGAAGAATGTGTTCAATCAATCAGAGAACGCATGAATACTCCCAGCCTGGCTGTAATCGTCTTGTTGCCCCGTCTCTGCACGTTATGGAATGTTGACTGCTCTGCTTCCTTCATTTAATAAAAGCCGGGGTGGTACTTCCAAATCGCCGGCAGAGTTCACACACACGCCCGCTGCTGGGAACCAGGGACCTGGGACGAGGGGCGGGGGGGCGGGGTAGGGGGTGGGCTTGGGGGCTTGGGGGACTCACTGCTGCCCTCAAGGGCGCTCAGTGCCTCCCATGTCCGGACCTGCCAGGGGCCTGTTGCGGGCTTACCGGGTGGCCGCTTGGCCACGTGGTTGAACACTTTGGTATTTCGCTAGACGGGATGATGCCGGGGTTCAGAAACCACGTCTCGGGACCCAGGCGGGAACAGCGGAGAGAGCCGGCGGTGCCCGTCCCAGAGGCCTCTGCGACGAGGGGGGGGGGGGGGAAGAAAAGCCATCAGCAAGGAAATAAAGAAAAGAGCAAGTCAATTATTTGCGGGCTGGCGACGCCAGAAAGCAAGCCGAGCCGCCAGGCTCCAGAGGGGCATCTGGAGGCGGTGTACGGTCACCCCTGAGCGCCTATACCCAGGTCCCGGGGGGGCCCCGCGCCCCCCGTGGACTCGCAGCCGCGGGTGTGGACGCCCTGACTCTGCAGAAACAGCTTCCCCTCTGAGCTGCCGGGCACCAGCGGACAAAGCAGCTGGTGATCTATCTGATTTAAAGAAAAAAAAAATTTTTTTTTTAAGTAGTCGCGGGTCAGCCTGGTGCACAACTTTCCCCGCTTTTCCTTTCAGTGTTTTTCTCATTGTAGTCTCCTTTATGCCTGCCCCCAGTGCTCTCTTAAGTGCATTTAGTTGGAGGAAAAATTGACCCACAGAAATCTTTGCATTGTTCTCAAGACAGTATTTGAACTCCCTAATGGCCCTAGGAATCCTCTGAGGGCCCTGCTCCTAATAAACCAAACCTGGAGAGTGGAAGAAAAGTTTTCTAATCCTGCCGACTCTCTTTAAAATTGAGACTCAGCTGAAGAGCCCAGCTTGGACTTTTTGGTGACTCACCACATGCCTCCAGGCTAGGGACTTGTGGCCTTCCACAACAGGGAGCTGAGGGAACAAAGGGGCCTAAGAGTTTCCCCTGCAGAGCATTTACTATAGAGCCAGGTCCCCCTGGGTGTTCTACGGAGGAACCCTGTGCCCAGAGGTATTATTAAACCCATTTTGCCGAGAGGAAAGTGAAGCCTCTGGACGAGGGACCTGTTCAAAGTCCCCTCTGTTGTAAGCTGTAATTAGGTCTAGAATCCTGGTGTGTGGGTCTTCTAATGCTTTTGAACCTCTTCTTGTGCCCCATGAGATTCTCACTGGGTTATCAGCAATTTTAGCCACTGCGCAATTTAATGAAATCACCTACAAACACAGTGACTGTCATTTCTGGTCAGTGCCTGTGTTAACCATCTGCAGGCAGCTGTAGTTTCTGGAAGGCCATGTTAAAGAAGACAGCATTTCATTCTATTGACTCTCTGTGGTAGAAACTCTGGCACTGGTTAATTTTCCCTCGGGCTAGTAAATCTAGGTGCCGCCTGGCACTCACGTGTGTGCACTTTACAGAGAAATCATCTGCCCACACTGATAACAGCACCACAGAAAGTTCAGCATCATGAATGCATATTTCCTTGCTTACATTTTCTGGTGCAGATTTTCTCTTTTTCGGTGTCCTTGGGCTTAAAGCCCTCATAAAGCACTGTAATCTAAAGTCACAATGACAATGTGTATTTCCTTCTCAAATGTGAGAAATGAGAAAAGCCATAATCATAGATTAATACCACAGGGTTTAAAATGGAGTGTCTGTCCAAGTCTGAGATTTAGAGCAACATCCTTACCAGTTCTCCAGTTTACCCCTTGAAGAAAATTTTCCATCCTCTTAAGACCTGCTTATTATGTCAGAAGAAAATTTGCTTATTTCTTTAGCTGCATTTCTCCTTTGTTTTGCCTGAATGATGTGAGTAAAAACTAGATGTACTAATGAAGAAATACCTAGATGTCCTGGAAGTAGGAAAAAAAGGACTGATAATCTAAGGTTAAAAATGAAATTCATTTAAGAAACTTGTAACTTCTAGGCTATAAGGAATAAACCTTTTGCTTTGCCATGTTTATCGAGTCTCTATTATGAGCCAGGCCCAGGGCGAGGCACTAAAGAAGAAAATAGACTCTGTGCCAGCCTTCATGGACCCACAGAGCAGTGGGGAAGACAGACTTGAGGCCGATAGTTACTAATTATAATTAAACAATACAGGGAAATACGAGAACATCTAGCAGGATGATCAAACCCAATCTGGGATCAGGGAAGCTTCCCCAGGGAAGGGGGAGTCTCAGGTGAGTTGAAAAGGAGATAGCCAGGCAAAGAGCACTCTAGGCCATGGAGGGTATGTATGAAGACCAGAAGGCAGGAGGAGAGCCTGGCAGAATGGAAGAACTGAGAAGATTCTAGAATGACTGAAGGGGAAAGATAGGGAAGAGAGTGGTGCCAGGTAAATCTGGAGAGGTCCCAGCCTGACAGTGAACATGACCTTTGCCACAGGAACCTACCTCAATGGTGTAGAGCCAAGAGGGTCAGTTCCATGAGAACAGGGAACCATCTTGCCATAAGTGGCAGGCTTGCTAGCCCAGTGCTAGAAATAGTAGGTTCTGGTAAAAATGCAGCTGTTTCCACACTATTGTCACAAATCCTCATGCATAATAATCCCACTTCTTTCTTCTTTCCTTCCCTGCTTGAAACTAAATGTTGCTCCTGTTTTTCCCATTTTTCTCTTTTTGACTTGTAGGTCATGGATTCATGAGGTTTCTCTCAACTTCCCATATTCTTCCCACTTCTTTCTTCCCATTTTGCCATGTGATGTATTTAACAATTCCTTACAGTGCCAAGCAGAAGGGGGAAATCATCCAGCTAGATTACTAAGGGGAAAAAATCCAGGACACTCTTGCCTCTTCCACAAATATCCAGTCACTCCAGACTGGCTCAAACGGACAAGGCTGGTGGCTTTTACACAACCAACTGGCGAAATAAGCAGGACTTTTTAGTTTGTGTTTTAAATGACAGGTAATTTAACCCCAAAGGGAATGTTCTAATTCATCATTAAGCTCCTCTTCATTTATTACAATGCCAAAGCTTAGGGTAGCACACAGAAAATGTTGTGTGCCCTGAGCGCCAAATTGGTCCCTCTGCGACTAGGAAAGCATTTTGGAAACCATGTTCAAGGCTGAGGTACACACATTTTTGAGTCATCAAAGCTCATCTCTCTATTGTGGCAGAAATCACCAATAGCTTTGGCTTCTCAAAAAAAATTGGCACCAGGTACTCACCAGACACTTGTGCATATGTTGCATTTTATTTTGTTTTCAAGTACTTTGGATTCCAGGAGACCTTCCTAAAAATCTACTTAATAAAACAACTTGTCCTGAAGGTTTATTTGAATTTATTTATTTGAATTCCTCAGCCTTCTGGGACAGTCACCCTTTGTTTTAACAGCCAACTAAGATGACCTACAAGGTCCTTCCCCTGTGGGTGACAGGTCCAAAGGCTTTCCCAAGAGTTCAAGGACACAGGCTGGTCCCTTCTTGCTCCAAGTTCCCGCTCAGAACTCACACGTCCAGCCCTTTCTTCTCAAGCATGAGCAATGCCACCTCGCTTTCACTTCCCAGGTGCCACCAATCAAGGCTCTGTGTATACCAGACCTGCCTCAAATCTGGAGTTAACAGAAGGTAATTACAGCACAGGACAGAAGTGGGAGAGGGACATCAACGGAACGCTGGGCAGGGACAGTTACTGAGAATCCATCAACTAGCCCCTGACCAAGACTCTCTTACTGGTTGTCATCTATTTGGGCCCTTGGGTCACTGGTCCTTTTTCTCTCATCTCCAAAAGACTTTCTCTCTCTTCTTCTCCACATGAATTCCACTGTTACTCTATCATTCAAAAAGCACCTATAGACATTTTGTGTTCTCAAATAGAAATTATTTCCTCCTGGTTGCACATTTACTGGAAACTCTTCAAGAACGGGAGCCTACTTTTAAAAGTAACATCTACAACTTCTGTTTCAAAAATTCAACAACTCCCTCAGACCTGAGTCTTCCTGCCCCTCCACATTTCTCACCTCTTGAGGGTGATATTTCTAACACAGACAACCCAAAAAGGCCATTTTATGAGAAGTTTCTAGGTACCAGGTGCTTAACAAGCCTTGTTTCCTTTCATCTTTAAAATGGCACTCTATGATTAGCATCATTTTCTCCATTTTACAGATGATAATCATCTGTACAGAGCCAAGATTTACTGAGCGCCAACTATGCATGAAGGTCTATGCTAAGCACCTTGCATGGGTCACCTTGCTGAATCCTCACAACTCTACAGAGTTGAGATCACTACCATCTCCATTTCACAGATGAGGAGACTGAGGTTCAAAGAGGAGAAATGATGAATGTTAGCAACTCCATCCAAACAAGAATGGAGCCCAGGTCCCTATAACTCCAAGGACTGGGATTTTCCCTACACCATAGAGCTTCGGTATGATTGAGTTCCAGGAATTTGGAGAACATTCTTTTTTTTTTTTTTTTTTGATGTTATGTTAATCACCATACATTACATCATTAGTTTTTTATGTAGTGTTCCATGATTCATTGTTTGCATATAACACCCAGTGCTCCATGCAGAATGTGCCCTCTTTAATACCCATCACCAGGTTAACCCATCCCCCCACCCCCCTCCCCTCTAGAACCCTCAGTTTGTTTTTCAGAGTCCATAGTCTCTCATGGTTCGTGGAAAACATTCTTTTAAAAGAACATGGATGGGGCGCCTGGGTGGCTCAGGGGATTGAGCGTCTGACTTTGGCTCAGATTGTGATCTCGGGTCCTGGAATGGGTGGGCATCAGGTTCCACCACTCAGCACGGAGTCTGCTTCTCCCCTCTCTCTCCCTCTTCCTCTGCCCCTCCCCCAGCTCATTCTCTCTCTCTCTCTTTCTCTCTCAAATAAATAAATAAAATCTTTAAAAAAGAAAAGAAAAGAACATGGACAACAATGATCTTTCTGAACTAGCTCTGAGCTAGCTCGTGGCATGCCTCAAAGCAGGCCTTCAGTCATTAGTTGTCAAATGATCAAGGGATACTGGTTCCGGATTCCATCTGCAGACTCCCAGGAGCACACCTCTTGGTTAAGGGGGCTTGTTCACACTGGGTCTGTTTGTGGCTATCATTTGGCATCCCCTGAGATGGTTCAGTTACCGGAGTGCCCATCAATTAAGAAGAAGCCTTCCTGCTGAGAGTGTAGCATTAAATTTTCATGGAGGGAAAGAGGGAAAAAGAGTAATTGGGGCAAGAATAAACTAGGCTTTGTTCTAATGAAACTCATGCTGTAATCATGCC